GGGAGCCGAAGCGGCGGCCTGGGGAGCGGGGCCTGCCGGGGATTTCGCGCGGAGCCTGCGGAGCGCCACGAGGGCGGCCAGCGGCGCTGGGTCCCGGGGCCCGTCTCCCCCTCCAGCCCCAGATTCGCTCTCACCTGCCGCCACTTGCACCTCCCCCACCGCCTTTCCGACCTGGAGGCGCCGAGTCCCGGAGGCCTCGGCTCTTCCCGGCTCGGCGCCCTGCGACTCAGCCTCCGGCCGCGCCTCGCTGTTTCTTGTGTCCCGGGCCAGCCTGGCGTCCCGAGAAGCCCTCGAGCTCCGGGAGACGCACTCTGGGCTGCCCTCGAGGGGGCTGGGGGCCTTGGGTTTTTTGCCCGGCCTAGTCTCTTCGGCTTCGGTGGCCTGGCTCGCCGTTCCTGGGGCTGTCCGTGGGCCCCCTCCAGGTCCGGCCCCCTCCAGACTCGATTCCGTGACTGTCCCGGAATCCTCCTTCTCTCCCTGGGGTCCCACCCCCGACGACCCTTCCCGGCTCCGGGGTTCAGCGCTGCCCCCGCCGTCGCTGCTGGGGCGTTCGCCGGGTTCCAGCTCTGGCTCTGACTCGGTTTGGGTGTCTCCCAGGACCGTGTCCTTTTGCTCCGGCTTGGGTCGCAGCTCTGGGGCCCCAGTGCTCTGGCTGTCGCTCTCCTGGGCCTCGCGGGCTTCGCTGTCCGGGCAAGAGCTGCCCCCGTCTCCACCCGACGTGTCCCCATGCAGGCTCCGAGTCTCCCGGCAACCATGCCGAGCCGAGGGTCCCCGCCCTTTTCCTCTCCTCCTGCGGCGGCAGAGCTCACTCGTTGTCCCTTCTCGGGAGAGACTCTCTTCCTCCAGGCGCCCGCCACGGTCCTCCCGGGGCTCGCGGCTCTCCTTAGATCCGCGACCCGGACGCCGCGCACTGCCTAGTCTCCCCTGGGCCTCTGCTGGCGGCCCAGCCCCTGACCGTCTGCAGCCGCCGTTCCGCTCTGCGGTGGGCTTCCGGCGGCCGGCGTGGGTCCTGTGGCTTCCCGCAGTGACCGGTTCCAAGACCGGTCTGGTCCTTCGGGCCTTACCGCGACCCTGTCCGCCTTCCTGGCTGGGCGCGCAGTGGGCGCTGCCCGACCGGGACTCCTGCTCCCCTGAGACCGGCCTCCTGGGGCCCTCCTGGCGCTGGGACGCTTTGCCTTTGCTCCCACCCATGGCGGGCCCAGTGAAGAGGGGCTTCTCGGGGTCTCTGTCCTCGCCCTGAAGACCTTAGCCCGCAGTGCCCTCAGCTCTTGGCAGCGCCCACACCCGTTCTGCTCTGGCTCTACAGGCAGTCTACCCCCTGGGGGCTCCAGCCTTACTCAAGAGCATTAATTATGCAGTTGGCCGCGGGGTCCTGACCCCTTAGACCAACAAAGGAGTGGAGGCCGCCCAGGAAAGAGGAGACGCTTCAGCATCAAAGGCCGAGGACGGGGCAACTGTGCCACCTGGGAGGCACTGCCAGCCAGGCCAGCCTGGCACTGTGCCAAGCTGCAGGGACCCACGTGCTCTGCTCCCCTTTCACTGTTTGCCCCCCTTTCAATGAGCCTGTCTGGACCATCATCCTGGGGACTCTAAGGGATACCCACTGTCCTTCCTTCGTCCCCTTGGCCTCAGTAGTATCAGCAAAGAGCTAACACTTCCGGGCTTGTTATATGCCAGCCACTGTTTTAAACACTTTACTATGGAGTCATTTAATTCTTGGAAGCATGCTAAGAGGTGGGTGCCCTAAGGATTCCCGTTTTATGGCTGATGCGACTGAAGCACACAGCCAAGTGTCAGTGGTGGTCAGAGGTGGGACGCCAACCCGGGCAGTCCGGCTCCCAAGGCCCGCTGGAGAACAGGTGTGAGGGGCTACCATCAGCAGTAAACTTGACTTTCGTTGGCCCGTTACAACGTATCTGATGTATCTCCAATCTCTTGCCTTCCTGGTGCCCTCCTCTCTGCCCTATTGATCCAGGCCGGGGCCTGTAGCTCACTCAGTTGCGTGGGTGTGGCCAGCTGTCTTCCCAGAGCCTCCCAGGGAGAGGGGACTCTCCCTCCAAGCCCAGCTTTCACCACTGGCTCCCACTTTCCCCATTCTTTCCTTCACCTGCTTTGCTCCTCCAGTCTGTGTGAGTCCTCCTCTGACCATGCTCCACTCTCCCTCCCTCCCTCGGGAACCGTCTCCTCCTCTCCTGGCCCCTACCACCAGCCACTGTAACTTGGTAACTTTCACCTCCTTTGGTTGGGTGTTAAGGTGCCGAGCGATTTTACAGACTCTCATTTAATCCTTACCACCCTCTGAGGCAGGCCCTATGATTATGCCCTGTTTTATAGGTAAGTAAACTAGAGCACAAGAGTGAGGTCATCTGCCCAAGGTCACACAGTCGGTCACAGGTGAAGCCAGTGTTTGAGGACTGGGTCTGCCTGACTTCCAAGTCTAAGTGAACACTTAAGTCTCCCACCTGTCGATGTTGAAGACCCTCAGATCCAAGTCTGCAGACCATGTGTCCAGCTGCCTGTGGTACATCAGCAGGGCCCTTGGTGTCAGCAGTGACCTCTGCCACTCACCTTCTCCATCTGGCAGTGGCCCTGGTCAACCCAACCCCTCAGTATCTCCATTTAGCCACTATGGCCACCTTCCCCTGGACAGAAGCGGCAGGACCCTCCAACCTCCCTCCATGCTGGCTGAGCTTCCATTAATCCACTTTCTAGACAGTGCCAAACTCCTCCACTTGTGCACACCTATCAATAAAAATTGTTGATCTCACACTCCCAATAGAATATTTTCCTAGAACCAAAACAGGCGAACCACCAACATGAGTTAATACTTTGTAGCCCAAAGTACTTAAGGCAATGCTCATCCTGAATGAGGGCAGAGGTAAATCCATTTTCAGAGTCTTGATACTTGTGTGTGTGTGTGTGTGTGTGTGTGTGTGTAGCTGTCCAGCTCTCCAGAAAGACTGAGGACCGAGTGCCAGTCCAGGATATACACAAGGCTTAATTTCTTTTATGATAAAAATAAAGATCCTGTGCATTCTAACATGTTCTCCCTGACCCTGACAGAGGGTCACCCCCATCACGAAACCCTGAACCTCGTGGACTCCCATGAACCTCACAACAGATCGTGAGGGGATACTCTTATCATCCCGTTCCCCCAGAAAAAACTGGGATGCAGAACAGGAAGGCAATATGCGTGTCACACGAGTGGAACTTGCTGGGATTTAAACTACAGTGGTCTTCGGAAGAATGAACTTCATAATGGAACTTCTGTGCTCAAAGCCCTTCAGATGCTTCCAGAGTCTCAGGATCAAGTCCAGACCGTCTTGCAGGGTACGCAGCACTCCCCACTGTCTGTAGCTTTGTCTTTTTATCTACCGAGCATCCCTTCTCCACTGCTTCTGCGACCATGGTCTGTGTTCCTCTTCCCTTTGGGGCAACTATTCCCCCTTCCTTGTGGCTTTTGGGACTTCTGTCTCAGTAAGTGCCACCCTCACCCCCACTTCTAAGGAGAACAGGAGAGCTGGAGTGGCCCAAGTTACACAACCCAGATTCTTGAGCTGCACATGCTTGGCGGGAGGGTGATGGGTAGGGTTCTCCCATGGCGTATCCATCTAGGGACCTGGGCCTGGACTCCTCCTCTGCCCTGTGCGCTAATCCATGTCCTTCCAACAGGCCACGTGGGCTCCTGTGGCACATAGCAGTGCCCTTACCCTCGCCAGGCTCTAGGAGGTCCCAGTCTGGCCCCGGCCACTTGGTGGTCTCATTTTTGGCACACTTCCTGCCAGCTACCCTCAACTCTTAACACAATCCCACAGCAGGCCGACCAGTTCAAGTGCTGCCTGCCCCTCTATCCTCTGTGTAGAACGGAGCACCCAGCCCATTCCTGGTCACGTCCCTGCCCCAGCTTAACGTCACCTTCCCAGGCACATCTCTCACAGGCCCCCGGCTTGCCTGCATCCTAAGATTTCCTGCCCTTGTTAGTATTGTGAGCCTCAGAGGGCAGGGACCACATTATCTTGGCCACCTCTGACCCCAAGCGCCTGGCATATAATAGGTACTCAACAAAGACAGGTGAATGAAGTAGAATCAAGTAGACTCAACCCCCTGACTTATAAAGACTGTAACAGTGGTCTGATCCAGCCCCTCATCTGGGGGTAAGAGCTTTCACTTCTGGGAACTGCCTCTGACCTCAGCAGCACCCCACAGTCCTTCCCTGAAGTCTGGAAGAAGCCACCAGGTCTGAGGTACTGTGAGTGTCTCCCCCTTCTGACAGCAAGCAAAGGCCGGTCAAAGGGGACTCCCTCTGCCCCCGACCCTGGGATGCAGCCATGTACCCTCAGGGTGGTTAACTCTGGCCGTTCGTTTCCAAAGACAGAAGACATAGTGTTCAGATACGAACAGACACAGTTTGCTCTGACTCAACAGCTTAAAAAACTAACTCTCCGGAGTACCAGCCTGGTCCAGCAACTGGACCCCAGGGGCAAAGGCAAGGGACCGGCTACCAATCATTTCTGTCTACGTAGAAAATTTCTGCACAATTAAAAAAGTCAGTCATTGGACCAGTCCAGTGAAGAGGTAATAAGGTGTTTATTAAAAACTTTTTCACCCAGAGGCAGTTAAAATTTATAATTTAAAACCCAGCCCACTACAAAAAGGGGAGGGGAAAAAAAACTGTGCAACATTGACAAAAGAACCAAGACAGACAAGGCCCAGGTGGGGCAGCCCCACGGCCCTGGGGTCCCTCCTCTCCGAGGCCAAGAGCAGCAGCAGCAGGGTGCACACCGGGGTTGGCTCCAGTCCCTGGCACAGCCCAGTTCATGGGCCTCCCGGGGCCGGGGGGCAGCGCCCCAGGAAGCGCCCTCAGTAGTGTGTGTTCATTGCGTAGCCTGGACCTGCGACCTGCTCACTCTGCTGTGGAAGGACACAGAGCAGTGGCAATTCGGGGGCCTCCTGGGCAGGCCGGGGGGCCTCAGTCCCCCGCCCAGGGGCGTGTGTGGGCTCATTCTCCTATTCCTCCCCAACTAGGAGGCATACCCTCCCGGCCGCCCCCCAGCCCTGCAGCGGTGCCCAGAGCCCCTACCTCCCCCATTGCTGAGGCTGTAACCCGTGGCCACTCGCTGAGATCGCCAGTCGCCATAGCTCCTGCACGGGCAAAGACAGGGCAGTTACCATCAGTGGGGACCTCGGGGAGACCAGACGAGGACCCTTATTCCCAGAGAACTCCTGGTACCTCAGGGCCCACCCCTGCAGGCCCGAGCAGGAACTCACCCTCGGTCTCCCTCCAGTGTGCTCTGAATCTCCTTCAGGACCCCTGCAGGGTTGGGGAAGAGGCCTGCTGAGGCCGGCAGAGGCCGGGCCAGACACAAATGTTTCTCCCCCTTTTACTGGTGGAGTGTCGGACAGGTCTGCCTCCCGCAGAGTAACGGCCCTCGGTTCCACCCTGGCTTTCCAAGCCTCCCTCGGGACATCCCTCATGACGGCCCACCGAGTCCTGCCCAACTCACTCTCATCATTGAGCAGAGCGTGCTCCATCACCGGGCCAGGCCTCCTCTCTGAAAGGCAGGGGCCAGGTCAGGTGAACTCTGAGACCTCCTCTGCCCCAGCTCCCTCCTTACTAGAGTGGCAGTGCCGGAACCCAGAACCCAGGACTGGAAGCGATGCCGTCTCTACTCTTAGCCCCAATACCACCTGCTGGCCTGGGGTTCCCTTTCTTCCCCTTCGGTCTGGGTCTGGGCCTAAGTATCACAATGTATCTGTCCCCCATCCCCACCCCTGGGCACAGGGAACCCTGTCTTACCCTCTCCATCACTCTGGCTCCCTGAGTTCCTGTGGGGAGAGAGATGGTGAGGACTGGGAGTCTCTGGGCTCCCCATTCTGGCTCAGAAAGCCCTGATCCCATGAAGAATGAGGTCAACTAACCTGGCCCACCTTGAGCCAGGGTGATAAACCAAGCTCTGCCCTGGATGGCAGCTTCCATTAGAGGGAGGGGCATATGAAGGGGGGCAGCGAGCCAGAGCCAGGAGGGTGGGCTTAGCTCAGAGGAGAGGGGCCAGGGCAAAGGCCACCTGTCCTTTTACCGACCTGGCTTGGCCTGAGACCTTCTCTGGGCCTGATCCGTTGCGGGGGCAGCTGTGGCTCTTGGTTTCTGCTGAATCCACCAGACACCGGGGCTCAACCAGCCACTTGGTGGA